CGTTAAAATATTCAAAATCGTTTAAAGATATTCAGGGGGCGAGTTTCGATTATTTACCAAGTTTGAAAATTTGTTTGACAATTTCAAATTTTTCGTCCAGCATCTGCCTGGAGGACATGCCCGACCTAACCCTCGCGAGAGGAAGGCGCTCTTGCGTTGACCCGCCTCCGAAGACTTGCCGAGGGGGAGAATACGCACACAGACTGCGCACGGGCGCGAGCGTAGCTTTCTGAAATGCCTTGCGCGGCACTGCTGCGGCGAGGTCAACACTCGGCACTCAGGAAACATGTTCACGGCGACGAGGCGAGAACCATATTTTTTCTCGGGGGAGGCGGGCGGATGGGTCCTTCCCAGATGATATCGGCATTGACCGGTTTGGCGGAATAGTAATATTATTGTAATATGGACATATGTGCATCTATATAGAGTATGTTACAAATACACACGATAGACGATAGAGCGCGTTCTGTGGTCGCTTGGAGGGGGCGGGCAGGGTGTTTGAACTGAGCCCCCCCCCCTGGATGGAGCGAGGAGGCGGTTCGAACCCCCCCCATTCCTCCCCTACTTTTCCTCTCTCCCTTTCCTCGGGCCGGCGCCTGCGCCGGCGGCGGCTGGTGACGGCGGCGGCGGGGACGACGATTTCCTTGTCTGGGCCAGCGCCGGCGCCTGCGGCGGCGGGCGGCGGCGGCGGGGAGCGTCGACGAGGACGACGGTGGTGGTGGTGGTGGTGGTGGGCTGTGGTGGTGGTGGCGGTGGTGGTGGTTGTGGTGGTGGTGGTGTGGTGGTTTGTTATGGTGGTGGTGGTTGTGGTGGTGGGTGGTGGTGGTGGTGGTTTGGTGGTGGTGTGGTGGTGGTTTGTGGTGGTGGTGGTGGTGGGTTGTGGTGGTGATGGCGGTTTGGTGGTGGTGGTCGTGGTTTGTTGTGGTGGTGGTGGTGGTGGTGGTGGTGGTGGGTTGAGGTGGTGGCGGTGGTTTGTGGAGGTATTGGTGGTGGTGGTGGTGGTGGCGGTGGTGGTGGTGGTGGTGTGTTGGTTTGTGGTGGTGGTGGTGGTGGTGGTGATGGGTTGTGCTGCTGGTGGTGGAGGTGGTTGTGGCGATGGTGGTGGTGGTGTGGTAGTCTGTGGTGGTGGTGGTAGTGGTGGTGGGTTGGTGGTGGTGGTTGTGATGGTGAGTTGTTGTAGTGGTGTATGTGGTGGTGGTGGTGGTGGCTGTGCTGGTGGTGGTGGTTGTGTGGTGGGTTGGTGGTGGTGGTGGTTGAGGCGGTGGTGATGGTGGTAGTGGTGGTGGTGGTAGTGGTGGTAATCGTCGCTGCGTCCCCGCCGACGCTGGCGCCAGCGACGGCGCTGCTGGCCGCCGCCAGCGCCGGCGCCAGCGCCAGCGCCAGAGCTAGCGCCAAAGGGGGGGGGGGAGCTGCCTCTGGTCATCGTCGCTGCGTCCCCGCAGTCGGCGCTGTTGCCGGCCGCCATCGCTGGGGCCGGCGCCGATGGGGCGGGGGAAGATTTTGACCCCCCCCCCTTGGGAGGGGGGGGGGCGGGTTCGGGATGGGGGGGGGGTGGAGGGGAGGGGAGTCCCCCTGGTTTTGATCGACGGCGCCGAGTGGTGGGGGGCCCCCCCGTTCGAAACGCGCCGCCGAATGTTCCCAAGGCGAGCGCCCGTGAAAGGCGCTCTCTCCTATATGCATATATACATGTGTGTTTGTTCGTCTTGTATGTGTTTGTAGTTGTGTATATGTAAATGTGTGCTTGTATATATATATATATATATATATACATAAATATTGGTTCATATATATATATATATATGCACATAGCTGTAAACATATGTTCTAGTGGTAAGGTGTGTAGGCGAGGAGGGAGCGTGGAGGGAGGGCGTTTCTCAGCTGACCGAGCGAAGTTGGGGTGAGGTACTGGCGGGGGGAGGGAGTCGATACGCGTAAGGAGTAGGGGTGAGGAGGGCGCGAAGAGGGAAACCCTGTCTCAGCTGGCTGTGGCGGAGGTGGAATGAGGAACGGTGGAGGCGGGGGAGCAGGGACGCACGGCGGGGCGGGGATGACGGGAGCAGGGAGCAGGGCAGCCAGCGGCACCCTGCGGTGACCGAGAGATCTTGCACTGCCCCACCCATCCTGGCGCCCCAGGAAAACAGGCGGGTTGGCAGCCCGATCGTCACCACAGCCCGACGGGGCTGTGGGAGAGACTCTTGCCCTGTGGTTGGCCAACCACGGTAGACGTGGGCCCGCCGTGCCATCCCTGAGAGGCCCGATGGGGTTACTCGAAGGGGTTCCCCGACGGGGGGGGGGCGCGGGTAGTGGGGTCTCCGCTTCTTGAGGCTGGCGGCCTAATGGGGGTGATGCCTGTGGCCGTGTCCCGGGGTGGCTTCCCGAAACGCCCCGCAAAGGCGGCGCAAAAGTGACGCCTGGGGCGCGGCTGAGCTGCCATTCGTGTTGCGAGGTCCGACTGTATGCCAATGTAGGCAAGCGCCTGCATACGAATGCACGCGAGCGCCTTGGGCACCTCCCTTCGGGTTGTGTGGGCCAGGTCTGAGCCAGATTCAGCGATGCTGGAGAGCCTTGCCCAGCATGGCCGGGACTTACACATAGTGTTTATACCAACGCACATATCTATCACACGTGTTCGTGAACAGTTGTTCAGCAAGCGGCCGGGAACATATATGTCGATATGAAAGCGCTTTCGTGTTGTGCATGCGATCTTGGAGCCGCTGGCCCAGGTGTCGTGCTCAAAACATTATCGCCTGTCATGTCGATGGCCTTGCCGCCTTCCTCAATCTGTCATGTTCTGGTCATGCGATGTATTCGAAGTGTTCCGTTGGACCGGTCAAAGCTATTTCAAAAAACTTTGGGTGGACGAGCCAACACCGCCGCGTGCGCGGAGAAGTGTGCAGAGTCTAAGCCAAGACGGATGTCCGCTGGACCCCCCAGCAACGACTGGTTTGTGGACCCGAGCGAGCCGTGGACCAGGGCCCTGAGCAGGCCGTTGACCAGGTCGCTGCCCGGCCCACTCCCCCTTCAGGGGGTGCTACAGAGGGGCAGTAAATCGTTCGATTGCGGATCCGATGCAGCCGCTGGCCTGTCAGGTTATGAGCGCGGCACTCGATTGCCCCTCCGTCTGCCGCTGCTCACATGGTACCACTCTCCTCTCCCTCCCTCTCCCCCCCGGGCACGTCCAGAGAGGCGCGCGCCCCCCGCCCGCGAATTCCCTCAATGTGGGCCAGATGGTTCTTGTATGCGATTTCCCGTCCGATCGTTCCCGCTCCCTCCAAGACAGCGTTCCTCCTGCAGCCTGGGCCTCATTCTGCGCTTGTGTTCCCCGCCCCCGTCGCTCCGAACAGCGCTCCGTCCCCCCAGCGCGGGCTTTCCGTTCGGGACACGAGTGGTTCTTCGTCGTTGGCGCCCCGTCCTCCGCCTTCCCCCGGTCTTCCTGCTGCGTTCGCTCCTTCCCCTTCAGTTCCTGCGGCTGCTGTTTGTCCTCGTCCGCCACCTTTCCACCTGCTCACCCGCCACTCCCGGAATCGTAATCGTAATTAAGGTAGCGAGCCTCTCTTACGGGGCCACCTCGGAGCTCGGTCCTTGAGCAGCGTGGTATGCCCCGGCCCTAGTGAGAAGGCAGGGCGTTTGCACAACCAACCGCAGGGGATTTCGCCAGAACCGCGCAAGTCACCAGCGTAGGTGTTTTGACGCTGAACCCTCTTATGCGGATGTCCTGTCATGTCCTGTCCTCCTCCTCCTCCTCCTCCTCCTCCTCCTCATCCTCCTCCCCCTCCCATGTGCGCAGCTCCCACCTGTTCCGAGCACGCATAACGTGGAGGGATCTTTGCTTGATATCCAGGTCCGCTACACGCATCCGCGGATGGAGAAACAACAGCGAAGTGGGTGTGATGGGTTTGGATGTCAGATGTGGCTCGAGCGCGCCTAGCTTGACCCTCCCCCCATTTCCCCCCCCCCCCCCCCCCCTCGTGCTCCTCCTTCCTCCTCCGACTCCCCGTCACGCCCCCTCCCCAGGAGGCCCTCCAGAAGGCCCCCGGAGAAGACCCGAGAAGGACTGACCAAAGCGCCGGAGCCGTGGTCACCGCAAAAGACGAGGTCACGGGGAACGCCGGACTTCCTCAGTCGGCGATGCCACTGTTCAGGGGGCTACACCCTAGGCGATGCTTAAGAAAATGTAAGGTTTCGGCCAGAGTCTCGATTATTCTTACTGTCTCCATGTAATTTCCCGACATTTTAATAGAAATTTAGGGTTTTTATAGAATTCCTAAAATTGTAATAGAAATGTTGGGTTTTAATTCAAATTCTGAGACTATGAATTTCTTAACCCATGATTTCTTAAGCATTTCGCAGGGGGCTATGGGCTCCGTCGGCGGGAGCCGCGTGAACGGGGGCATGGGGGAAAAAAGCTTACCGGCAAGCGACTCGCCAGGGCTGCCCTTTTGCATCCTGCCCCTTTCGGCCCATCCCTGCCTGGCCGCACTTGCAGGCCGCGCCCCGCTCGCATAGTGCCCAGGATGACGATTAGAAAAAACCGGCCGCGGGCTGGAAACATATTTTTTAAAATCGTTTTCCTCCAGTCAGGAACTTGTGCAGAAATCGCAGAAAACTTGTGTTTTAAATCGTTCCCCCCCCATTTTGTTTATTAATCGTCATCCCGCATTATGGGCTCCGTCGTCGGGAGCAGCGTGACCGGGGGCATAGGGGAGGAGCTTACCGTCGAGCGACTTGGCAAGGTTGCCCTTGCATCCTGCCCCTTCGGCCCATCCCTGCCCGGCCGCACTTGCAGGCCGCGCCCCGCTCGCATAATGTCGAGATGGCCTTCTTGGCTTTCGAAGGCCCGTGCATCCTGATCGTGCGCCCCTGTGACTCGGGTTGACTGTTGCTTGCTGTGCCCCCGTTCGGGAGGCCTCGTCCCGACACGTCGCCCCTGAATCTCGAGCCTCCCGCCTCCCGCCAGCCCCAGCTGCTGCCCGCCGCCCCCCCCCTCCGCGCACCTCGAGGAGGCAGAGCCGCTGCTGCGGGAGGCCCTGGACGGCCGCCTCCAGCTGCTGGGGCGGGACCCGGCCAGCACCGCACAGTTCGACGATGAAAAGCATGAGTTCACACGTTCTCGAAGAAAAAAACGCCATGTCAATTTTTGGCGTTCCTCGCGGATGCCTTGGATCCGTGCTGAGCTCCCCTGGTGGCGCTTCTGGCGCCGCCCCTGGCGTCCTGCGCCAGGGAGGGGGGTGCAGCGCAGATTCAAGAAGTCCGCGCTGAGCGGTAACAGTTTATGTTTTGCCGTTTTTCTTCGTCTTCTTCTCCTTCTTCGAACGTTCGGAGGTCCGCGCGGGTTTCTTGGGATCGGCGCCAGACTCCCCTCCCTGGTGCGCGGAGAGCGCGCTAGAGGTGGCGCCGGGCCGGAGGCGCCGCCCTGGAAGGTCCATGGCCGAGCCCAGAAGTCCGCGCAGGCTTCTCCGAGCGTGTGCGTTGTATGATTTGTTGTTTTGTGGTTGCTTTTTGTTTCTTCGGCGTCTCTCGACAGTTGTTTTGATGATTGTTGTTTGTTTCTGTTTCTGTTTGTTGTTTGTTGGTTTGTGGTTGTTTGTATTCTTCTTCTTGTTCAACAGCAACAGCAAGCCCGCGACGACCACGGCGACGACTATTGCATCAACGGTCTTGCGAGACCACTCGGGCCGAGAAGCCCCTGTCTCCCCGCCTCGTGGCTTGTCCTCCTCGCTGTTGCGCCTCCTCTCGACTACCGCGCCACCGCTCTTCTCCTCTCGACCTACTCCTCACTGCTTAGCACCATCCTGCTCATTCTGCCGTTGCCACTGCTGCTTCTTGAGGTTGAGCGTACTCTGTTTGGAGCTGCCCGCCCCAACGTGAATGTAGTCACGAATGTGCTTGGGGAAGCTTCCTGAATATTTTGTCTGGGCCTCTGCCGTGCATTCTCATATCGGCTTCTGGGAACATCGGTTCGGGTGCCATTTTCCCAGGTGCAGGCTTCCGCCAGGTCTCTGGCGCGAGCCGCCTGTCGGTCATTTCTGCCAGACCTATGCCCCGAGCCGCCGGGCAGTTCGGACTGAGCTTGGGTCGGGGCTCAAGGGACGGGGGTCAATGCAGACGTGGGTCAGTCAGGGCGCTGGATCTTGCAGGATCCTGCAGTGCTGCAGCGCCAGGGTTGTATTGATCCCGCAGGATCTTGCAAGGCCTGTCTGGCCCAGATGTGGATTGACCCGTGTCAGTGGATCCTTGATTGAACCTGGAACTCGGAGCGGCCATCCAGGCGGAGTTGCCGGGCGGCCCATGCTGCAGGGGCCAATGGTGCCAGCCGTCCCGCTGCGGTGGTCGCCGTGGTCTCTCTTCCCACATGGACTGCTAGTCCATGCTCCATGGCGCGCCCCCCCGCACATTCTGCCCGCTTCGCCCAGCCCGTGCGAGGGCGTCCGGCGAGTGTGCCTGGCCAGAACGGGCGGCGTTTGGATTGAGGGTGGACTGACGACGTGGGCATCAGGCAATCCAGCATGCTGGGCGCACAATCCCGGGCCTGCATCGGACCAATGTCAGGAGGGGGAAAACGCACATACACAATTAATCGTCGATTCCCCGGAAAATATGGGAACATATGTGAAGTGGGGGGAAGATAGAAACCCAGACAAGATGTGGAAACATTGTGAACTTGTGTCTATGTTTTTGTATGTCCCAGGGCCCCTTCACCTTTCTTCAGCGATTGTGGGAGCTGTTGCAGCGAGGGATGAAGAACAGTTATTCTGCGACCATTTGCGAACCCCACCCCGACGTGTACACTCGACGCAAAGGGGTATCGAACACCCCTGCTTGGGTTCACACGGCTGCATGAATCTCTCAAAGTATGGCCCCCCGTTTTTGTTTTTTTGGGGGGAATTCGACCTACATGAGTAGGGATCGCAGACCGTTGCCCAGAGAGTCCTCTAGTCGCTCGCAGAGGAGACGAGGCCGTGCATGGCAACGTGCCCACTGCTAACCTAAACTTTGGGGCTGTCAGAGTTTCCGCCGCTCGCGTGGAGGTGAAGGGCGCAGGATCCGTGTCATTTGCCTCCTCGTCGTCCTGAGGAAGAGGAGCACGTAACGAGACAGAAAACAATACGCCGAGCACGGCAGCTATTGAGTTGGATGCGTCGTCTCGTTTCGCCTGTAAGCTCGTCCTGCTCCCACGGTTGTGAAGGGGCACGCAGCGCGGCCCACAGGAGGTCTCCATCGTGGGCACGCCTGCCTCTGTATTAAGTCGGGCCTGTCCCTCTACAGGGGGTATACCCAAACATAGTGACAAAAAAACATCTGGGAACGATTTTCTGATTATTGCTGGCTATTTTCAAATATGTTGGAGTATTTCGTTTTTTCCATCCAAAATCGGCCTGTAGGGAGACATGCCCGACCTGAACCCAGTATGACGTTCTTGGCATGCGGCAGCGCCTATCTGCCCTCCCTGCCCCCCCCCCCCGCCTCCTCCGACCCCCCCCCGCGAGCCCCTCAGTTCCGGCGGCGCAGGGTCTGGTCTCGGACAGGCGGTCCAGCGCGCCGCCCCTCCCCCTCCCCCCTGCCGAGCTCGCCGCTGGCGAGGAGCCTCACCCAGGTGCCTCTCGAGCGTCTCCGTACCAGACAGCCGACGAGGGAGGTGCCGAGCTAGAGGCAGCTTCGGAGCCCTCTCAGGTCGCCGAGGCCGAGGCCCCAGCCCCCTTTGCGGGCACGGGGCGGGGTGCGCCGAAGCGCGCAAGTCGCGCCCTCCCCCTCCCCCCCCCCTCCCCTCCGCCCCCTTCCCACGCTTCCCCCGCCGTGTCGCCCCTTCGCCGTCGTTTTGTCCTCCCCCCGTCCTTGCCGCTGGGGTCGCTCGCATTATGAGGACGTGCCCCGGCGAGACTCCAAGTCGCGGAGCGGCAGCCCCCCCCCCCTCTTCTCCTCCTCCTCCTCTCCTCCTCCTCTCCTCCTCGTCCTCCTCCTCCTTCTCCTCCTCCTCCTCCTCTCTCTCCTCGTCCTCCTCCTCGTCCTCCTCCTCCTCTTCCTCCCCCTTTTCCCTCCCCCCCTCCTCTTTCCTTCTCCTCCCCTCGTCCTCCTCCTCCTCCTCCTCCTCCTCCTCCTCCTCCTCCTCCTCCTCCTCCTCCTCCTCCTCCCCCTTCCCCTCCTCCTCCTCCTCCTCCTCCTCCTCCTCCTCCTCCTTCTTCCCCCCTCAGCTGGGCGTGTTCGCCTGCCCAGAGATCCTGGCGTCTCGAGTTTCTCGAGCCGGGCGTTCTCGCCTTCTTTCTTTGGGCCGTTGGACCCTCACAGATCGATCCACTCGGAGAGATGTCGCAGAGAGATGGGATCTAGGGCTCCAAGTATGTTTCGCTTGTTTTTTTCTATAGAGCGTGCTGCATATGTTGTTCGCTGCGTCGGATCTCTGGGGTTCCGGTCGGCGGCGAGCCCGGGGGGACGTGGGAAGGGGCGGGCCTTTTCAGAAGGCCTGGCAGTCCCCCGGCCTCCTGGGAATTCGTCGACGCCTTCCCCAACGGAAAAATGTTTCAGAAGGCGCGATGGTTTCGCAGAAGTCCCGCCGCTTTCTGAGAAGGCCTTCTCTTTCTCACTTCCCACCCTCGCCTGCCGCCGGCCCAGCCCCTCGGACCTCGAGCACCCACCTTCTCCTTTTGTGTCCTTTTGTTGGTATTCGGCGGACATAAAGGCCAGGCTTGTTGAGTTCCTCGGGAGAGAGGGAGAGAGGGAGAGAGATTGAGAGAGAGAGAGATAGAAAGAGAGAATAGCAACGCAATAAAAAGCAACAACGCGAAATGGAAGCGCCGACTTGGGCAGAACGAGCACATTGAATCAAGCCGCGGGCAGGTGCAGTTGTAGCGAGGCAGCGAGAAACGAAAAACCTAGTGCCCCCCCCCCCCCGCTTTCTCCTCCTCCTCCTCCTCCTCCTCCTCGTCCTCCTCCTCCTTCTCCTCAGCTCGCTCTCCTCCCTCCTCCTCAGCTCGCTCCTCCTCCTCCCCAGCTCGCTCCTCCTCCTCCTCCTCCTCCTCCTCCTCCTCCTCAGCTCGCTCCTCCTCCTCCTCCTCCTCCTCCTCCTCGTCCTCTGCTCGCCTGGTCCGTTTTCTCATGTGCACCAGCAGGGGCGGGGGCGGGCGGGGCCGCCCCGGGCCCGTCCCTGCTCGGCCGGAGGACCACCCCGACTGCCGCCGCGCCGAGGCGGACCTGGCTGCGCTGGTGCAGCGGCTGGAATCGCCCACGCCGCCGCCGTTGGTCCCCCCCTCCTCGCCATCGTCCTCCTCAGCTCGCTCCTCCTCCTCCTTCACCTCCTCCTCAGCTCGCTCCTCCTCCTCCTCCTCCTCCTCCTCCTCCTCCTCCTCCTCCTAGCCGCCGTATGGGTTCCCAAGGAATTCCCAGCGGCGTAATTGAGTTCCCCACACATCAACGTCGCGCCTCACTCCATGGCTGGGCCTAGTCATCGGCGCGTGCAGTGACGGGGTGGGGGGCAACTCGTTCTGCATCCTGCGGTTTCATGTTTTTATCGTCGCCTTCATTGAAGCTTATTACATATAACCCACTTAGTCTGGTGTCGGCATCTCGGGTCGAGGAGATCGCAGATCGACTGAACGTGGATGTTATTTTCATGCAGGGGACGCATGTGCGTGAGTGGAGCGATCGAACTTATCATATCGAACGTCTTCGGGGTCGTCGTGTCGCCATACACTTCGGCTGGGCGAGGGGACCCCATGCAAACTCGAGCGCAGGCTGCTGTATTGTCTTAGGGCGTCGTGTGCATCCGTCGTACGTGAAGCATGTTCGCAGTGGACCCGCCAGCATCCAGGGACGTTTTGGGGAAGTTCGTGTCAAAGGGCCCCAGCTGGACCTCACCCTTCTCGTGGCCTACCCCCCGCCGATCTACGAGTCAGGCAGGAAGCGTCAGGCCCAACTGAAGGCGGTCAAGATCACGATGGACCACCTGCGGACGCGGGTGGAGCAGGCAGCTGGACGCAGCACAGTTCTCATTGGGCTTGATCTAAACTCTGGCTTCGGCATGGGGAAGGATGGGATCAAGAGGGACGAGGAGGAGGAGCATACTGGCACATTTCACTTGGGCAAGGAGGGAGTAGGAGGTGAGCACCTAGCGAGCATGCTTCTAGATCTGGACCTTATGGCACCATGCACATACACTCCTCGGGCGGGCCCAACATACTATGGCACAACAGGGGACTCCAGCACGATTGACATGCTCATCATCCCTCGGGGACTGGGCCCATGCATTCGCAGATGTCAGGTTGCCTGGCGGAGTGGTCGCGAATTGCAGCTCATCCCCAGCTTTCGCCCTAGGGACCACATGCCTGTGCTGTTGGAGGTGTTTTACACTCTTCCTACTCACCTGCCTGATCCTGATTTCTTTCACTGGGACTATCAGAAGTTATCGAGTGCTCTTCAGACGGGTGTCCATCGACTCGAATTCCATCGAGAGCTCGAGCAGGCGTTTGTTACTTCGGCTGCATCATTTGAGACGCTTCGTGAAGACGGGCGCGCAGATCGGCACTATGATACCTGGATTCAGATTGTCCAGAAAATCGCACGCGCACATTTTGCATTGGCTCCGAAACCTGCACATTATATATACAGAGTATTCAGACAAGAGAGGCTGCGCCCTGTACGAAAGCGACGTGAACAGCGCTGGGCAGCAAATCTTCACTGGGCACAGTACGGGCACATGCACGACTACAGTGACACGTATCTTGAGCAATGTCAGCGTATTATGCGTATCAGCTACATGTTACGTCGTCTATTTCGTCGCACGCGTGCACGTAAACGAGAGGACATGGTAGATGAGCTTAGGGAAGCACGACGATTAGGACACCAAGCTGAAGTACATCGTTTAGCTAGAGCTCTTGCAGGTCGCTCTACTGGGATCAAAAACCGCAAGTACAATCACCTAGCGGGCTTCTCCCCTGACTTTGATGAGTTGCACGAGTCTCTGAAAGTAACGGGAGCAGAAGGAGGCATGGAAGCGACGCGCCTAGTTGATTATGATAAGCAGTTGGCGGATTTTCTGGCAGTACCTCCGATAGCGGGCACTCTTACCCGTACGACCAAAATGGAGCTTGTTGCAGACGCCTCGGTGAACCGCTTGATATGCAAACTTCGACAAGCAAAGAAGCGTCGGGCCACGGTCAGCTGGAGTGCGCCAGTTGAGATTGCATTGCTGGTGCTGGACCCTGGTTACCTCTCGCGCACACGATCTCAGCGTTTCGGTATCGGCTTCGACACTCCTGAGACTCCTGGTTTAGGCCTGATCAGAGACCCGTTGATACAGTTGAACAGATACGCGCGCACCCTACGCATACTCTCATCCCTGCTCAGTGTGAAGTCCTTGATCGTGCCCTTCTTGATTGCTCTCTTTCGGGGTTTGCTGATGATATATTCCGCAAGCGGCGTCTCCCCCTTGGGCTTTCGACAGACCAGGTGATCTCGAATATAGCTGAAAGTGACCGCGCGATGAATGAGATTCTTACCCAGCACAGGTTCTCTCATAACATGACTAAGAAGGACATCGTCCCACATCTTGGCTCTACGATTGCTAATCGCAGGTTGCAGGAGGAATGTCCCAAATTGCACGGGGAAGTCAAAGCACACGCGCGACATCTAGGCGCACGCCACACTATGATGGAGAACAACGGGGCGGAGATCGACCTTCGTATACGGGGCATGCGGGCAGGATGGAGTGTCATGGGTTCCTTTTGGCATGAACGGGGTCTTCGTCGACTAAAACGTGAGTTGTTTCTGAGTACGGTTGTGGAGAAGGGCCTCGCGGGCCTTGAGGCTTTCGTACTTTCTAAAAGTGAACATGCTAGGCTTGACACTGTCGTAGTTCGTTACCTTCGCGTGCTCATGAAGGGCTCGGCTACTGATTGGTCGGGCTCCCATGCGGTCTCGCAGAGCAACGGCGACGTTCTTCGGGATTGGCGAATCTTGCCGAGCTTTGGGGAACTTGCAGTACGACGGGTCAGATGGTTACAGAGATGATAAAGTACCTCACAGCCCACGCGCAAACTATTGCTGTACTTTGTGGTCATATACTCAACGAAAAACCAGCCCTTACTGACACGGGTCAAATACGAAATACAGCAAATCCATGGCTTCTTCAATTCCGACACGACCTAGAGCTTTACCGAGGTATTAGCGGCACGGAGAGCTTCTTTGAGGTCTGGAGGGACACCGATGATTCCTGGATAGAGTTATTCAATTGCAATTCTGATGCAGCTCACGAATTCTTAGCAGTAGATCCCAGTATCCTTGGGGCCACAGTATTTACCAACTCGTCTTTGTTTGACAAGCTTTTCAACTCTGTTATGCTTAGTCAACGAGAAACACGAGCTGGGCAACATAAATGTACTATTCTAGATGCTACAGATACTCCGTGCGCCCTTGGGTTCCCTACGTCTCAGCAACTTATTGCACGCCAGACGTCTCATCATGGGATTCGGTCTGTCTTGAACTCAGGGGTCATTACCAACCAGTGTCCGAATTGCTGTTCAGTATTCAGAGATGTGGCTTGTACTCGTCATCACTTGAAGCGAGCTTATGCCCAGGGGAGATGTCAATTGGGGAGAGCGCATATGAACTGGGATTTACAACAGCCAACCGACTTACAATGTGGTCTATGCTCTGTAGCCCTTTTTGGTTCCACGAGCGAGCTCTTCACGCACATACGCACTGTTCACCTCCCACTCCCTTTGCCCGCCCTCGTGCTCTCACGAGGGGCACATCCACGTGCATCTACCTGCCTGGTGGATGCCAGGCGTCCTCGGTGCGAAGGAGCAGCAAGAGGGCGGCTTTCGCCGCGAAGTGCGCCGGCGCCAACCCGACGCCGACCAGGCGAAGAAGGAGCAAGGTTTGAAGGAGGTCAAGGCGCTCAAGCACGGCGAGAAGACCATGCTCGGACTGATGTCGAGGCAAACGCTGAGGAGCGCTCAACAACTACGCGAGCTTCAAGCCGTCATTTACGACGTTTGGCTTCTGGCGGAGACTTGCTCCATCGTGCTGGCAATGCAGGAACAGACGAGCAACTACGTCGACCACGTGAAAGGCAAGAAAGACCACGACCTCGGGCCACCTCACGTCTACTCACTCGGTGGAGCTCTGAAGACCTACGCCGACGTCAAGCCAGGAACGCCAGGATTTTCGATGCCCGAGCCGTTGCACAAGGAGCTGAACACGGCGTTCGCGGAGTACGACAAGTGGCCGATGGAGCAGAAGTGCGACCTGGTGCTGCATTGTCGAGTGGAGAAAGTCTTCCAACGGGGCATGAAGAAGGTGACTGTCGCGTTTCGCGACCCGCAGTTCCGCATCATGATGAACAAAGCCTTCGAGTGCACGGAGGGCGCGGCGAAGAAAGTTGGCAAGGCACCTCCGACCTTCCTCGAGCGGGAGCTGCAGGAGTGGCTCGAGGGCATGGAGAGCTAGCGGCGTCTTCTGCTTCTTCTTCCGCGGCGCCTCTCGCCTCTCTGCCGCGTTCTGGCTCTCGCAGGCCGAGGTCTGTGGGGTCCTTGAGAGCACCCGACGGCAGTTCGGTGGAGGATTTGGCTTGCAGTGATATTGTCTTCTGGGATGGTACTTCTCATCGTATTCCTGCTGATGAGCGGCGCCATGCTGAGGATGCTACCCGCAGCGTTTGTCGTGAGCAGGGTAATACACCAGATCTCCCACTTCTGACGGCTCAGGCGAACCGAGCTGTTTTCAGGACTAGGCCTCTGAGTTCGGAGGTCCCTCTTCCTGCACGCGCAGTTCCAGGCGCGCCTTCTCGTTTGCGTATTATTACAGACTTTCTTGCATCACGTAATGTCATGCCTGGCACGCCTATATATATATAGACGCATGTTGTCGAGTGAGCGCACATATGCTCTCGCACGGGACTGGTATAACTCTCAGTTGCACGAGGAGCTCACGGTCACAGGACCGCAGTCTCAGTGACCTTGTGTAGCATACCGTCAGTGCGCCGCGGGATTGAATGAATGCCTCCCACAGTCATCTCATGCGTCGGCGACTGTGGGGACTTGCCCTGGGACCGACAAGGTCCCGTAGGGCACAGGTCCCGTCACCTCGAGGCCCAGCCATCGAGGTAGTCCGCTAGAGCAGGCTCACCGCACCATATCCTTAGACAGGTGATCAGCACATTGTCGACGGAGCTTTTGTTGTGTAGCATGACCGTACATAGTGCACGGCCAAGTCAGACCAGGATGGCGCTCATGGTGATGCAAGGTCAAAGTCAAGGTCCTCCTCCTCCTCGTCATCCTCCTCCTCCTCCTCCTCCTCGCTCTCCTCTCAAGGGGGGGCACCGCGGCGAGCAGGGCAGGGGCAACGTGAGGGGGATGGGCTCCAGGGGGGGGCTGATCATATACTCC